CGGGGAGAGGCAGGATGAGGCCGGGGATGTTGTGGGGAGCCCACGGCTCCTCCTGCCCCACTGCGCATCCTCCCCGCTGCAGCCGGGGAGGGGCCGGGGGGGGGGGTGTGGGGGGGTGGGAGAGGCCATCGCCAGGCCCACGGTGGTGGCTCCCATCTCGCTGCTTCACGGTTCGGTTTGTGCTGCAGGATCCCCTAAGCAGGCTCCAGCGTGAAGCGAGACCGCTGGCACCAGGCTGGCTGCGGATAAATCCCAACAGCCAGAGAGGTGGGACACGGCGGCAGTCGGGTCTTGCTGCAGATGGGATGGACGAAAGAGTACGGAGGGGCTTGAAGGACAGCGAAGCTGCCCAGTACAGAAGGAGACCTCCGAGAAGCCCCTGAGCTGAGCACGGGGCAATTACTGGTGGCAGGAAGGACCTTCACAGCGGGGAAGCTGAGCAGGGTGCTGGGGCAGGGCCGTGCTACGGCGCGGGAGGATGCTCAAGTGCAACCTCCAGTGGTCCCTGCCAACCCAAACCATTCTAGGATTCTCTGGAAATGGGAGCCGGGCACTTGGCCCAGCAGCATCGGGGGACGGGGAGCGATGCGGCAGAGCCGGCAGCACAGGGGCAAAGGGGAAGTGAAAGAAGTGCTGGAGCTCTGATGCTCCCTGTGGCTCGGAAATCCCTGGCCCGTGGGAAGGGACACGGGCAGGCTCCCCGTGTACGGAGTGACGGGGCCAGGGGCCACGTCCTGGAAACACCCCCACACACCCCGAGGAGCTGCGCACCAGTAATTCAGTTCCCTCCACCAATGACTTAATTTGGGAGGTAAGCACAGTTCCTTCTTTTATTGGAACAGCAGCATTTTCCCCTTCAGACACAGATTTCTAGAAAACTTTTTCTGTACCACAATTATTTCCCTCCTAATTAAGAGTCATATACCTTTGAAGAAGGATAATGAGTGGCTTGGGTTTATTAGCAGCCTTTTATCAGCAACCCATGGGACTTCTCTGTTGTCAGGGGCTTTAAGCTCTGCCTTGCCCCAAGACATGTCAGCAAGCAGAGGGGCTCTAGAAACACACTTGTCTTTTAGGGTTGTGTAGAAGGCTGTGGTAGGAATTAAACCCATCGCAGAGCAGGATGTTTTTACCACACCGCATCAATAGAGCAGCCTCTAAAACCACTGCAGACAAGATATGCTTCTTTTACATCTCCTAATTAAACACCGGGACGCTCCGGCAGGGATGCTCCCAGGGTTTGGGCTGGTACTGCCCAACCTCTGCTCCGGTGTTGCTGGAAAACTGTGGGTGCCTTGGTACCAGAGCACAGCACGCCCTAACGCACGGATCCTTAATTTGCAGAGGCCATTTGGTGTCTCCGGCCTTGCACAGAGGTGATGCCTTTGGGATTCGCCGCGGGAGAGCGTGCCAAAATGCTCGACACCCTGAGGTCATCTGTGACGTGCAAGGGGGCCTGGGCTGTGCCTGGGCACTTGTGCGGTGCCGGAGGTGCAAGCCGTGGTAGAGTGGATGTGCCAAAGCCAGGCTTGGTGAACATGGGGGGCTCGTTGGGGGAGAGGAAAGCAGGGATGAGATTAGTGAGAAGAAATATGAAAGATGAGGAGCCACTGCTTGGCGGTGTTCAGGAGAGGTGAGAGCTTGAGAGAGAGGGAGAGAAGAGGGGTTTGAAACTCCCTGCAGGAAAATAGGCTTTAAAAGGTGCCCTTCTCCCAGCTAATGCTCCTGCCTGGGTCCTGGGAGAGCTGTAAGAGCTGGGGAGGCTCTTGTGGGGGGTAGTATCACAAAATGGGAGTTGTCAAACCCCACCAACCAGGGAGGGCTGGAGAACCCTGGTGCTTCAGCAGCCGCGATGGAGGAACCTGGATTGGCGGGGGGGGGGGCTGGAGGCAGCAGCAGAGCCTGCAGGAAGGCCTGTCCTGACCTTAGAGACTCACCGGTGGTTTAGGGTGTACGTTTAGCTCTTGCCAAGCCACCCCCGGCGCACAAGGGCCCGCCCCACACCACAAAGGCCCCGCGCTGCTCAGCACCAGCAAGGTTGAGCAGTGACAGCACTGCCTGCCAGCAAGCTCAGCCGCAGGGCGTGCTGCCGCGGCGCCCCGGAGAGCACGGCCCGCGCACGTACCTGCACGTTCCTGTTGAGGCTGACCGCCGGGAAGAAGAGGCCCTCCAGGTTCTCGAAGGCGACAGGCCCTTGCTGGTCCTCGTTGATGGAGAACGTCAAGGTCCTCCTGGTCAAATCCAGCAGCACTCCCACCGTGGCGCCTTTCGTTATCCCACCCTCGGTTCTGCGAGGGGGAGAAGAAGATCAGAGCGTCTCCGCGGCTTAAATGCCCCTTTTGTTCCTGGCTCAGAGACCTCAGGGACACGATGCTGAACTTCACGGCTCACCCAGGAGCCAGGCCATGACCTGCGCCCATCCCGGCCACGCTCCCAAGTCCCTGGGCACCACCCAAGCCTCCCACAGAGCTGCTCTCCCTCCGCTTGCCACGACGTCCCCGAGGGCAAAAGCCACCGACCGGAACAGCCACAGCAACACAACCTCGGGGGCAAAGCGAGTGGCCCAGGGTGGGGGAGCAAAGCTGCAGGACCCACTTCCAAACCTGCCGACCCACCGGGGAACGGCCTCTGAGGCTGCAGGAAGGTGACGCCAAGCTCTCCCCAGGCTTCAAAGCCCCAGCGACCCGCGGGGACAGTGAGCAATAGCTGTGGCACGGGCATAAAGGCAAATGCTAATTTCTCACTGCGTGAGTCGCTAAGGCTTTGGGTGTTAAGAGGGTGGTGCCGCGCACGCTCAGGGGGAAGAGTCAGCGTGGAAAGAGTCGCAGGAGGCAGGGAAGGAATATTGGAGCAAGGCAGAACCGGGGAGGCAGGGACTGTCCTTCGCTCGGGGCAAGGGCACATCCTCTAGTAGAGGCGATGAGGGGTGATGCCACCCTTCCCGTGGGCGCCACTGGAAAAGCCACGGGCTCTTACTGGGGCTGAGACTGGGCTGTGGCCTCTGGGAGGAAGACCCCGTTCCAGAGCGCCTACCTGTTGGTGTGCGAATTGTTGTGCATGAACCAGCTCCGGTTATTGTCCACGTACATGGCCCAGGCCTTGTCATCCTTGCCCAGCATGGCATCCTTCAGGACATCAATGCGTGCCACGCCAAAGGCCGGGTCGGGGTGGTTATCGTAACGATCGATCGACAGCTCCCAGTAATGGAGCCCTTTGGAAAAGCCCGTTTTCCCCAGCACAACCCTGTCATCATAGCTGTTGCAGGTGACAGTCAGGTTGTCATTAGAAAAGATGATGTCAGCATGGGCAGAGGCAGGATCGAAAGAAAACCAAGCAACTGGAACACACAAACAACACCGGGTTAGTCGGGCGGGAGCACGGGCGACCCAGCCCCGTGGCGCGGCGGCGACGGAACGGCACATGCTGCATGCAGGGCCCGACGCGGAGCGCGGAGGCACGGCGGGGGCTCGGGCTGCTGCCCGCCGGCGTGGCGGCCAGAAGCGGGCAGGGAGCTGCAGAGCGGAGAGGGGCATCACCCCTTCCATCACGGGGGGGACGCTTCGAGCTCGTGAGGCTGCGTGGCTGAGGCTTTAGGGCCGGGATTCAGACGAGTTTTGCTCTTGCGGCTCCCCGGTGCCTGTCTGTCTCCGTCCCCTCCCCGCGGTCGGTCTGTCTGTCTCAGCTCGTGAGCCCGCAGGATCCTCACCATCTCCTAAAATGTGGCCCTAGCAGGAGATGTGCGATCCCAGCCAGGTCTCCAGGCTCCAGCTGACATAACTTTTACGACTAAGGGTTACTCATGCAAGCAACAGTTTGCGGGGTCAGGCCCAGCGTGGGAAGGGGGACCGAGGATTAGCAGATAAATTCTGTGTGCGTATGTGAGGGCTGGCAGTCCTGGGAACCAAAAGCACACACAAAGGTCTGCATTGACAGAGGTGCTACATCATCACACCAGAAAACCTCCCTGCGGAGCAACCGGCCACACGTAAGACAAGAGCTAGCTCATGGGAAGGCTGGAAAACACCCCAAAACCTCCACGACTCGGCACAGCTGCTGGTTTAAATGCACGGGACTCGGTTACTGCAAATCTGACAGCTACAGTGTCACGTCCTGGACAAGACAGAGGCATGGGGTTTCACAAGCCACCAGCCCGGTTCCCCAGGTGGTTTTCTCCAGCGGTCACTGAAACGTGAACTGACACATCCACAAAACACTCTCACGCCTGTAGGAGTAAATACGGCTTGAAAAATAAAACACTCGGGTGAGATTTATTCATCGATTTATTGGATCGGTTCACAAGACAGCTCACATGCACGCGGGTGCCCCACTTTCGCAACGTGACGGAGGCGATTCCGTACCTGCCACCATTTTTTTAATGTCAACTGCGGTCATTCCCAAGGAAAGGCATGCAGGAGAGAAAACAGCACGTAAAGTTGGGTAAAGAAAGGAACGAGAAACAATTTCTGCTTGCCTGCTTCTCCAGCGAGCGCACGGACCTCTCAGCATTTTGCGTAAAGGTGGGGAGAGACGGAGGGAGGATGGGCTCGGGCTGCGAGGGGGCACGGGCTGGCTGGCACGGTGTGAGAGCTGCCCCAGGAGGAAATCCCACCGGGCTGGGCACGGGCTCCTCCTCCCAGGGGGATGAACAGGCAAGCAGCTACCACCAGCGCTCGCTCCAATTAGCTGCAGAGGGGCTAATCACCTCCTCGGCATTCGACCCACGTTCAAGCGCCCTTAATGAACTGGAATACGTATTGCTTCCAGCAGGAGGATCAGTTTGTAATGGCAGGGCCATTTCCAGAGCACTGACTTCAGGCTTCTCTTTAAAACCGTACGGGGAAAAACTTAAAATGACTTTACATCGTACGTCAATGACTGTTCCTCCTCCAAATTTGCCTACTGCCATGACATCCAAGCACGCCCTGCAAGCAGGGTACGCGCAAGAAATGCTGCTCAGTCACCAAAGAAAAGTTCAAGATTTAAAAAAGAAAAAAGGATGAGCAATGTGGAGTAGGTGCCAGATAACTGTAATAAATATACTTGCCTAATTGAGAGTAAGGCGTTCCTTGTGTCTCAAAATTGCATCCTATAAAGAGATACTACATTTCACACATCACAGCTACGAAACAACAACCACCTGAAAAACACTCATGAGCATTTAACCGTTAACTAAGCATCCAGCCAGCCACGGGAGGCCTGATTCATTAAAAGCCAGAGTGCAGGGAGAGGGGTTGCAAATACAACCCGTGAGGTTTATGTGTGGACTGTTGGCCGTTTTGGTGAGCCTCACCTCTGGGAAGTGTGGAGCATTCATTGTCAGATCCCATCACAAGCCTTCAAGAGCATCAGCTCTGATAGCTAACAGCTTGGGGTGCCAAATCGTTGCGCTTTCCTCCAGAAAAGAGGCAGGAAATTTTAGCTTTGGTGGAGTATCTGGGCCGCTCGGCAAATATTCTCTAGACTGACCCTCAGCTGAATTACTCAAAACCCACTCCTTGGAGGACAGGGACTGATGAAAGCAGAGCAGCCGCTGGTGCGTCCAGGGAATAGGGACCACCGAGCTCTCCCGGGCTGCCTCCCCTGCCCCGTGGGCAACCTGGGCAGGAGCGGAGCCGGAGAGGGGGGTCCCTGGGGGGCAGGTGCTTGGCCTCACGCCCCTGCTAGCACCCAAAGGGCACCGGGCCGTAGCTTCCCAGGGAGGATGTGTCGGGGTGCCCTTCATCCTCCTGTGCCTGGGCTGTGCCTGACCCGCTGGCTGCCAACACCTTGTGGGAGCCGCACCGCAGCCGGGGGGCTCACCCAGGAGCTTCTCCTCCTGCAGGAGCTTCTCCTGATCCAGGAGCTCGTCCTCGCCAGGAGGAGAGGGCAGCATGAAGCCTCATGTTGACATTGCATGGGTAGGCATTCGTGAAGGATTTTAAAGAACTCCCTGTCTAGCTCTGTGACTGGTTTTCAGCTCTCCTGTGGCGAGGGAACAGGTTTTTTTCCCCCCTGCTGACGTGCCTGTTGGTGGGAAAGCATCTGGCCGCCGCCGTGCTCCGTGGCGAGGGCCAAGCAGCACCTCCTGAAGCCGTTTTAATGAATCGTGCCCCGTGCCCCTGTTCAAAGAGTGGTTTTCAAGGTCTCCGCGCATCGCTGCGGTACAAGTTCACCCGGGTGCGGCACGTTCAGGACCCCGTTTCGCCCTTGCCCCACCACCCCAGGCCGCGGCCGCGGAGGCCCCTGCTGCACACCCGAGCGTTGCTCGTGGCCGTCGCGGTGGATCTCGGGACACCGGACACAAAGTTAGAAACGTCCGTGACAAAAACAAGAGTTCAAGCCATTAGCGCACAGCGGTACGATGAGAAAAAAACCAAAAACATAAAAAGCACAAGGAAAAGAAAGTTGCAGGGCCCCCGGTTATTCTGGCAAGGGTCATGCTGCAGCATTCCTCATTCCGGGTTATGGGATGGAAATCAAACAATCGGGGGCCCCCATTCTTCCTGGGCTTACACCAGAGGAAGCTGTGAATTACTCCACTGGAGCCCATGGAGTGGTGTAAATCCAGAGTGGCGGAAGAATCAGGGCCCAGGATCTTTAGCAAGGGAAGATGTGCAAAGATTGGTTAGAAAACAGCTCTGAGAGATGCACCGTGCCTGCGGTTCCTTCGCTGGCTGCCCGACACCGTCACTCTTTCTGCCTGTACTGCCTACAGCCCACCCCAGCCCGCCAGGCCCGGGCGCAAGGCACCAAGCAAAGCGCTTGTGGGTGCTGCCAGACGAGCAAGGTGTGTCACGGCAGTGGTTCCCTCTGCTCTGCAGAAAACCAGACTTCGCTACGATCGCGTCTGCTTTTGCAAAAGCCCAGCCCAGTGCTCCAAGCTGAGCGGACAACAGCCCACACCTACAGGGGCTTAAGAAGCCAGACTGCAAGGGGTCTGTGAGTTGGCCTTAGCTAGACCTTGCTTGCACCTAGACTTGCTTCTTTCTTAAGGGGGGTCTGGATTTATTAGGAGGGATCTGGATTTAATCGAGCAAACTAATTTCGCTGAACAAATCTCACGGCAGAGGCTGCGTTTTCTGGTTGTACAGGGAAAGCAAACCATCGAGCTGTCCCCACAGGTTTCTCCCAGGGAGGGTCTGTTCTTCTGGACTGTCCCTAGACATGAGATCAATGCAAACTAGAGATGAGGGACCTGCTCTGCCGGCTGGCTGTGCGAAATGCTTCGGCCATGCCAGCCCTGCCAAGAGCAGCACCCACGTAAGGAGTTGCTGTGCTGCTCCGTCACCCCACGCCTAAAACTGCCCATGCTGGTACGTACAGACGAAAACACCACGATAACTACGCCACCGAAACTCCCCCCCCCCCCGCGGCAGGAACAGGCCACTGACAAACAGAAGGAGTTCCCCCTGCCATCGGCATGTCATGGGAAAAACAAACACAACGGAACAAAACAAACAAATACTTTGGAGATGCCCGGAAGCACAGACTAAGAGGAAATGCCAGAGGCACTCGGCTCACCAGCTGAATTCAGGGACTGTAAAGAAGAATGCAAGCTCAGCTGGTGGGCCGAAGATCTTAGCTCAAAGTAGGATCTCCCCGGAAAGCTGGGTTGCAGATTAAGGGTGGAGGAGAAAGGACTCATTCTACGAAGCTGCGATCTTTCCAAAGGCACTGGAAAAGGGAGGGTCTGTTCTTCTGACTGCGTGTCTAAACGTAAGATCAATGCAAACTAGAGATCAGAAATCGGGTCTGCTGGACGGTGTCACTCCATCGCCCGAGACCAGCGCCCGGAGCAGAGCACAGACGCTCCGGCACGCACGGACCCTGCTCTGCTGCAGCGAGCGTGCGTACGGCGCGTGGAGCAGAAATGTCTGGTGCTGTGCAACCCAGCGAGACCCTTCAGGAAAGCCTTGCCTCCGACAGTATCGGCAATAAACACATTTTCATCTTCCAAAACGTTCCCAAGCCATCATGACACATTCAATACGCTTTTCTTTAAAGCGAGTCCTGCACCTCTTCACAGTAACGCACCTAAAAAAATTCACAAGTTACCATGCACACTCCCCACTGTTCTTTAATAAATCTCATACTTTTTTGTGCACAATAATTAGTGGCGTAAAGACTAGTCGGTTGGTAACGCTGAAAGGCATTTTGCAGGGCTGTACTAAGCTATATTACCCTAAGTACCACCAAGCACCCACCTTACTCAAAGGCTGTTCGGGATGTTGTGTTCTTGGTATCCCTTTGTACCTGTTAAAACACATCTGAGCCTTACAGTAAGAATTTAACTCATGTGATTCACAGCAAAATGTCAGAGTAGAGGGAACCTCTCGGGTCATCGGTTTCTGTTCCCCGCTACCACCAACGATCACCTCCTGCAATTCCTTCCCTAGCCTTGTCAAGGGATATTTTAACATCAGAACATAGAATCCACACATTCAAGTCAGATATGCTCCCGAACACTGTAGCCCCAGCCTTCCTGTCTCAGCTGTGCATATGGATTGAGCTGGAAATCACATTAAAAGAGATAAAAGGAAGCATTTCTTTGCACGTTTCTGTGTCACTTCTGCAACTTGCTGCTGCGCGAGGCTGTGGAAGCAAAGACTGTCAGTGGGTTCAGAAATGGGTTAGATAAATTATTGCACAACAGGTCAATAAATGGAGCTCGAGGTTAGGGAGGGACATGCCCTCCAACACCTTCCAAGAGTGAAAGTAACTCCTACCAAGAGTAGCTGGGCTCATGGCGCTCCCTAACTAGCATCTTATGTTCCTACAGCTCCCTGCAGACTATTTCCCCTCATGTTGTTCACCCCTTTCCAAAAACTGTTGGTTAAAAAGCCCTGGTTGCTGCTGAGGGTCACTCCATGGCTGGTAAAGAACCTGAAGCTGGGCCTCAGATGAGGAACTGGGCTTGAAAGAAGAGAAAAGCTTCTGGTGCTCGACTAGGCTGGGGAAGGGCTCTCAGGCTGTGGTGCCCCAGCCCCTTGGCCACATCCCCGGGGTGGCAGAGGTGGTCGAGAGCGGCTGCTCGTGGTGTTGGCAGAGTCGGCCAAGTTTGGGAACCCAGGAGAGGGGACAGCAGGGCACAGGGTGTGACAGGCCAGGTGTGTTCCTCCCTGATCCTCCGCTCCGAGGCTTGTGTCTCACCAAAGAGCCGAGCAGCCAAAACCCGGCTGGCCTTGAAACTCCACAGCCATGCCTGAAGCTAAGGGTTCAGAGCAGATGAGAGAAGGTGGAGCGGAGACACGGCTCTTCCCCCAGGCTGGATCTCAGTGCACGGCCACAGGCAGCACGTGCCTGGGAGAGCGTGGCTGAAGGCACGAAGCAGCCCAATGGAAGGGCCAAGGTGTGGGCAAAGAGACCTGGGGAAGGGTGAGAACGGAGCAGCAGGTTTTGGCAGGAGGGAGGTCGAACCTCTGCACCATCCAGGACTGCAGATCTGGGCCTCAGGAGCAGGCAGGGACCGTCTCCTCCAGCACTGCCGAGCTCCTCTTCTCCAACCCCACCTGGGGCGAGTCAGTCCTTCATCCCGTCATCCAGCTTGCTGGGCAGCCCGTGAAAAGAGACAACACTGGAGGAACTTAGAAGCCATTTCAGAAATCCTTGTAGAGAAAAGCAGCCCCGCAGCCAGCCCTCCTGCAGACTCTAATCCCATTGCAACTGGGAGGTCTCCTCCTCCATCCCTCGCCACCGTGCGTGAGGTGCCTGTTCCTGGGAGCGGCCGTTTGCATCCCACCACGACCAGCAGATCAGAGCCAGGGGCTTCTGCCAGGCCTCTTCAGAGGCTGCCCTCACCGCAGCCATGAATGCACCAAGGAACCACCAGTTGGGGGCAGGGTGAAAGTAGGAAAGTGCCGGGAGGAAAATAGACTGGGTCCCAAAGTCAGCAGGAGGCTGGCCCGAGGCTGGAAAATCTGCTGGATGAGGAGAAACCAAGAGAGCTGGGGCTGCCCAGCCCAGAGAAGAGGAGGCTGCGGGGAGACCTGAGGTCTCCCAGAGACGAGGGCGGTCGAGCGGTGCTGCCACCAGCCAAGCTTTGTCAGATGTCTGTGCCTAAGGACAGGATCACCTCGCCAACTTTCTTCCAGCCTGATTTCCAAGCCTACAGCTGAACTTCACACAGGTGCTGAAGGAACAGAGAGGCTAAGCCAGGCCCCACGTCGCAGTGCTTTGGAGCCTGCAGTGATGGACCTGGAAGGCACTGGCTAAGACGTGCCAGGGCAAGATACTCCCAGGGCTGCTGTGAAACAGGCTGACACCAGATAGGGAGAGGACACAGCTCAAGATAAGGACCGTGGCAGCCCTTGCTGCCATTTGGCTGTGCTGATGATGAGGATCTTCATCCCTGGGAAGCCCCAGAGGGCCCAGCACGTGGGAAGGGCTTCAGACCTTCTCCCAGCCGGGAGCCACCTTGCCTTGCTGGTGGCACCAAGCACCAGCTCTGAAGAATGAACTGAACTTCCTCAGCTGGAGAATGGAGTTTCCTTTGGGATGAGCAGAAGACACCACACGATGGGCTTCACCTTGCTGTACACTTGCATGGGCGTCGACTTCCCATGGGACATTCCTGTCGGGGCTGCCGGGCTCACCTCGTCTGTTTGGCTGGGCAGGACCACCGAGCCGTGCTCGCAGAGGCCCAGACACAACTCTACCCTCTTCTCATCCTTGTTATCTCCAGATGCTGAGACCCTGCAAGACATTTTACTCCCCACTAGCCTCTACAGCCCATTCCACTGCTCACCAAAGGCAGAAAAAAAGACTTCAGTTAACTTCCACAGGCTGTGGATAAGGATCTTGTGTGCTAGGACTAGAAGCCAGCTTTTAAATAACACTCTAAGCAGAATTTCTCATAACCACTTCCAGCAGGACAGCCATGTTCAGAGAGATGTCCTCTTCATCTTGAGCCTGTCTCTTCTTTTGTCCCCTCTTCCTGCACAAACACTTTGCAGCAAGCTGCAGAGCATGGCTGAAGGGGAAAGCTAAGCCTACTTCAGACAAAATAGCACTTAAAGGCCTGATGCTGCTGTAAAGGCCAGAAAGAAATGCCTCACTGGAGAGCTGTGATGTGCGAGGCAGCTCTATTCACCAAGTCACTTGGATATCTGGAAGACGCACAGAGATGTAATTTATTTCACTTAGAGTCCAGAAAGCTCAGCCAGCCTCTACAAACAGAAAATGCTCCAGGCCCATTTAACTTCTTCTCCTTCTTTCTTTCATGCTGGAATAACAAACGCAAAAGCTGAATGCAGCAAACTTTCAGCCGATGCTCAGAAGAGCGAAAAGGCTGTCTGCTGGCACAGACCAAGGCACCAGCCCCAAGCACAGCCTGGCCTGCCGGGACTATCAACTATTTTTTCCCAGGTCCCTTTGTATTTTGGAGCTGCACGATAGGCGAGCTCAGCTCAACAGTGAAAACCCCTATGAGAGGAAAACAGAGCTGGGAAGGTCATAGGGTCCCCCCTCCAAACTCCTGGCTGGGATGACTTAAAGCCCAACTGGTTTTGGTTAGGAAACCGTGTCTCAAATGGGTCTTCTAAGACACAAATGGGATGAGAAGCCAAAGTTCTGCTGTCTCCTGCAAAGGCTGGTGAAGCCTGGTAGTGAAGTGGGTGAGAAGTGTTGACCTTCAGGCTTCGGGATCAGTCTTGGCCACTCCCGTGTGGGGCTGGATCCAGGTTGTCCTGTCCCTGCATCTCCAGAAGAACACTGCAGCTCCCTCGATGCTGGTGCTCAGCTTTCCAGATACACACACAGCTCTCAGACAACGTGCTGAGGCCCTTGCGGCTCCTGATTCGAGTTTTCTGTCTCTTGGAGAAGTGCTTGTCACCGGTTTGCTCTCCACTCTACCTGTCACAAGTGAGTCCTATTTCTCACCAAGCTGTAGTGTCCATACATTCAAAGCTTGCACATGTCCCTTCTGAACTGGAAGAGTTATCTCCTGCAGGTGAGTGCAGGCAGGCAAGTGAAAACACACTGCACAGCCTTGCTCTGCTTCTGTCTGTAAATCAGTTTTCAGCAGAAAACCCTTTTTTCCTCCGCACTCAAAGCCACCAGAGACGCTCTGTGGCAAAAAGACTCTCACCCTCCTTCCACCCCACCAGCAGCCCCATGAGCTGCGTTTGCTCCCTCCTGACCCCAGACTGTGTATAGATTCAGACTGGATATCAGGAAGAAATATTTTATGATGAGGGGCTGCAGGAACATGATGCTGCTCTCAAGCCAGCTGCCAGCCAGGTCTGGTGATGCTGCTGAGAAACAAATCTTCACGTGGCTTGGCAAAGAGAGATTTTAGCTTAGGAGCAAGGAAAAGGGATTCCACTGAGCGTGGAAAACTCCCAAGGAAGGGTTTCTCGCCTGGCATCAAGGCTATGGGGCGGTGGATGAGCTGGTGGGGGCTAATTCCTTCCTTCATGGCTGCATCGCCTGCTGCTTCTGACTCCCGCCTCGTTTCTCGGAGCTAGCTTTATGACTCTCCACCTGCACGTCAGAAGCCAATTTTCCCGCGATGGATTAAGTGCCTGGCGTGACAAATGTACTTAAAGCCAAGGCGGGGAGATTCCTCTGCAACCTGCAAGAGGGTGTTTAATATTCTAACCGAGCGCCTGCCGGTGCGGGGGGCGATGCCGACGTGGCTGGCTGCGCACCCCGTGGGTCTGCAAGGACACCCGTGAGGCCCCGCCGTCCCCCCGCTCTCCGTCGTGCGCTGCCAGGGGCTGGAGGAGACATCGTGCGGTCACGGCGTTGCGCAGCCCCCCTCAGTGTCTTCACGAGCAACGTTGGCAGTGGTGCTTTGTTTTAAACGGAATTAACGAAAGGATCCGAGCTTCCCTTTGTGCAGTGCAAACGCTGCTGCAACCAAATTTTAAATGCCTCTCTGCGGGATGCCTTTCACTGTACCTCCCCAAAGAACATCTTCTGCAAAGGAAAGGGGTGAGAGAGAAATGCTGGCACTGTTCAAGGCTCCTGACATAACCTTTCCCCTCCCATCAGCGCTGGCTTTCCTGCAGTGACTGCTGGGGAACTGGAGGACCAGCGGAGTGGTTCCCTGAATTGCAATGCTAAGCTTGGGTGTGCTGGACGGGCCCCATGTGTGAGTGTGAGTGGTGTCCGAGCGCGTCGGGGCTGGAGCTGTTGCAATGCCTTACCCTCAGATGTCTGCAGGACCAGGGTCTTGCTGTACGGGCTGACTCCGGTTTTGTTGAAGGCTTTGACACGTGCGCTGTACGTGCTGTTGAAGTGAAGCCCGTCCACCGTGCACATGGTCTCCTTGCCCACGTACACCTCCTGCAAAGCAAGCACAATTAGTGCTCAGACCACGGAGTCCCAGGGTTGGGAGAACAGCTCCTGGCCGTCATGTCACACAGGGTTCAGCCGTGCTCTGCTACGCGGGGCAGACTTAGGAGCACTGCGTATGGCTAAAGCAGAGCAAAAGGACCCAACGGTTTGTTTCTTGACAACACTTTGGGCTGCATAAAAAGAAGTGTGGGCAGCAGGCACAGGGAGGGGATTCTCCCCCTCTGCTCCGCTCTGGGGAGACCCCCCTGCAGTGCTGGGGCCAGCTCGGGGGCCCCCAACAGCAGAAGGACACGGAGCTGCTCGAGCGGGGCCAGAGGAGGCCACGGAGATGCTGGGGGGGCTGGAGCAGCTCCCCTGGGAGGCCGGGCTGAGAGAGTTGGGGGGTTCAGCCTGGAGAAGAGAAGGCTCCGGGGGGACCTTCGAGCGGCCTCCCAGGGCTTAAAGGGGGGACAGGAGAGGTGGGGAGGGACTCTGGATCAGGGGGTGGGGGTAGGACGAGGGGTGATGGGTTTAAACTGCCAGAGGACAGATTTAGGTGAGATCTGAGGCAGAAATTGTTCCCTGTGCGGGGGGTGAGGTGCTGGCCCAGGGTGCCCAGAGCAGCTGTGGGTGCCCCCTCCCTGGAAGGGTTCAAGGCCAGGTTGGACGGGGCTGGGAGCACCCTGGGCTGGGGGAAGGGGGCCCTGCCCAGGGCATAGAGGGTGGGACTGGGTGATCTTTAAGTCCCCTTTCAACCCAAACCCTTCTGTGATTCTGTGAATACTGCACCATGAAACCAGTTTCTGTAGGGGAAGGAGATGCTATTCATATCGGACCAAGTCACAAGGCATCAATCCCAGCCAAACTCCCACTGAATCCCAGCAGAGCTCTGCCAGAGAATGTACACAGGCTGAGCCCGGGACACAGAAACATCCTTGCAGAAAACAACTGTGAATGCTCTTGGGTGACAGGATCAAAGAGTTCCTTGAAAGAAAACAAGGTGATCACAGCAAACGGGTGCTGACTCACTGGCATGTCACACTTCTGCTGACATAGCCCTGCTCAGAGGAACGAGCAGGGGCAGTGGTGAACAGGCCTACGGGCTACCGAAACACTCAGCTCACAAAACCTTGCTCTGTAATCTGCTTTCACCCCTCCTGACACCTTGACTGGGGCAGGGAGCAGCCCTGGGACCAGTGACGGGTCAGTGCTTGGGGTTAAGGACCACAATGTAGGTGTCTTAATGAACTGGCCGGGACTGGTGATGGCACAGTAAGGTGGCCCTGATCTACCTGGGCTCCAGCACCCACAGAGCTCTCCTGCAGCAGCACCCCATTAGAGCATAGCTCCCACCTCACCACCCCAGGCTCGCTGCAAGAAGCCCCTTTTCGGCTTGATGCCCAAAGGCAGAGTCCTCTGGTCTCAGGACACTGTCCCAGTCTCTCCTGCCTGTCTGTGTGGGAGGTAGCTAACAGGCTGGGTCACACCCTGACCTGCTCCTGGCAGGGACTGTCACCAACAGGACGGTTGGCACGCCCGGCTCACTGGGCAAATCGCTGCCTGACCTGGTCAGCTCGTTGCTTTCGGGCAGGAGAATGTCTCAATGATTTGAGAAGCCAGAGATGTTCCCCTTCGTGGCACCAGCCGTGTCCCATTGCTGGAGCAGCCCTCTATAATCCCAGTGGCAGGAATGCCACGCACATCCAAGCCTCCTCCTGCTGCTGGTGGGAGGAGGGAAGGCTGGTGCGCTGGGGAATTGCCCTCACCTTGCCGGGGTGGGCTGTGCTGAGCCTTGGTCTCCCCAAACTCAGCCTCCTGCTCCCTTCTTTCTCCACAACCTGCCCATGTCACCTCTCTTCTGCCTGGACTGCTCTACTCCTGTCTGCCTGAGTTTCTTGTGGATGAATTCAGAAAACACGATGGGCTGGTCCCTGCGCCTGTTCTCGGTGGATTTGAAAATGCTAGGATAATTATCAGCGTGTTGGATCAGAGAAAAATCATATTTTAATTGTGTAATTACAGCAATTTAAAAGCCCTCAGGCCTTAAACACCTCTGCTTGCTGGCAGCTGGCAAACCATGAGTCTTTCATGGCAATTAGCATACCTTGCATGAAAGATTTAGCAACCTAAAAAGATGGAGCTTCAATGTGTTCTTCGCATTTGCGAGTCATATTGGTCACTGGAAAGGTATTTCCATCCCCTCAAATAACCTTGCACCGCAAAAGAGCCCACAACTTGGCTGCACCATCACCTTCCCTGGGCACTGCAGCAGCGAGTCTCACGTTTCCAGGGAAGGAGGGGACTTGCAAAAAGTCTGGGGAGCAATTTGGCTGCTTCATGGCAGGGCAATACCAGAGCCAGGAGCAGTACCTTGCCACTGGGACATGCTCTGAGCACCTACCCTGAACTGGCCGCCGTTGCCGTCGTCGAGCTCCAGGATGTAGCCTTCCACCTGCACCGTTGACAAGGGGGGCTGCTTCCAGGACAAGGTGGCACTGTTGTTGTGGGTGCAACACTCCTCTAGCTGCAGGATCGGGGGGGCCGGCACTGGGGAGGAAACTAAACACAAATTAGTGTAACCCTGGCTGCTAGCAGCACAGTGGAGGAGCTGGGGGGGGGGGATACCTGCAGCAGGCACGTTTCAGCTGGAGCGTGGAGGATGCATTTCTTGCCTTGGAAGCAAGCACAGCACAAGGGATGTAACTGCGACCTCGCGAGTGTGAGGTGGGGAGGAAGCAGAAAGGACCGTTCCCCAAACAAGCTCCACCAAATTCCTCCTCCCCCCCTCCCCCCCGCAGCCTGGTGAAGCTGAGATTTTCTCAGAGCTTTTCTGCTTTCTTCCTGCTTTCTAATGCATTTTGGTGAAATAATGGCAGTGCAACAATATACCTGGTACAGAACTGCCGGGACTCTTCACAGCAGCCGGTCCCAAACCTGGGACACTCTCCCACACTCTCTGTGGAGCTGGCTGCAGTCGTAGGCCTGGCCTCACCTACCACCCAGCAGCAAGCACTGCTCTGCTTTTCCATCAAACAAATTCACTGCAATAAAACAAGCGATGCCGGAGCAGCAGAGATGAGCCTCAGGACCTGCAGAACAGGGAGTGCCTGATCTTTTTGCCATGGTAGAATCTGTCCTAAAAGGGGAGACTTAGTTAAGAGGTGAGTGTGTCTCTCAACGATGCTGTTCTAGCACCAGGGAAATAGCTCTTGACCTGCCCAAAAAGGCTCAGGGTCCTTCCATGCTGTCCCAAGCAGAGCACCCACTCTGGGGGTTCCCGAGGGGCCCCCAGGCTTGCCTTCCCTGCCAGCTCACCCAGCAAACAGCCCTTGCTGCTGAGCATCTCCCGGGCAGGCCCAAGAGGCACAGGCATGTGTCAGAGATGTCTCCAAACAGGCACCAGACGGTCCCTGTCCTCAGCCTCCGCATGCCTCTGGAGCTGAAGCTGGTGCACAGCCTCCCATCAGCTACACAGGGGACAAAAAGGACTGTCAGGGCTTTTTCTGCTCAGGCTGCTGCTGTGTTTGGGCACCTGCATGTGTGTAACACAGTCCACCCCTGCTCTGAAAAGCACGGAGGAGTGACAGCACGACAGGGAAAGGTGATGTCCACTGGCATATCCCATCCCCTGGCCAGGGACAGACCTCCCAAACCTCCTTCTCAGCAGAGGTTCTCGTCCTCCATCCTCTTCCTCACTACCCAAAGTCTGACAAAAAAAAAAAAAAAAAGACACGGAGAATCCAGACAAGATGTGGAGAAGCCACGGATGCCTGGGAGAGAAAAGATGGACTTGCTGGCACAGGTTCACCGGTCACCACCTCCCTCTGAGACTCCTCCACCTCCTGGGTCGGATCCTCAGCAGGAACCACCAGTCTGAGGGCTCAGGGAAAGCAAGTAGAGAAAGCCCTTGTGTTACAGTTCATACAGCAGAAGGGATGCTGCTCCTGCCCACTACGAGCTGGTGATGGATGTGGGATGCTCTGTACTATTGCTCATCTCTGCTCTTTATCGAGGCCTCTGGTGTTGCCCTGCCTCCCCCGGTGCTGCAACACGTGTTTGGGATCCAAACCCAACCTTCTGCAAAGTCTACAAAATGCAACAACTTATTTCCACCACGAGAGTGAGACGAAAGGACAGCCTCTGCCAGCTCTGCCCTGCCTCCACAGAGGAGGGCAGGCAGCTAAACTAGCAGCGGATTTGCTCTTATTAATTAAAAATAACTCTCTGGGCTTAACTGAAGGAAGGGAGGGCAGGAACACACTAACATCTCCACAACTGGTGCGTAATTAAAACTGTAATCCAGCCCTCCCTGGGTTTAGCTCCCTCCCTGTTAAAAAAATGTTACTGACACTTCAAGTTAATGGCCTGGCTAACTACGAGCAACTACGAGCGCTCCCGGCAGCCATGCCCAGTGCACCCTTCTCACTGCAGCAAGTAAAAGCAGGGCCATTATTTGAAGATGCTCATTATCGTTACAGAGGAAGAGCGTGGTGAACAGCCTTCCTGTGTCTGACCACTGAGAAATGCTGGTGTGGGCAAGCGGCTCCTGAGTCCGGAAATCCAGCCGTGACGGCAATAAAGAGTTGTGACAGACCCACAGCTGGTGGCCTTTCCTCCAGGCAGCTCAGTTGCACCAGCTGAAGGTACAGGTCGATGCTCAGTGTCCTCCCGAGCTTCCGTGCATCTTCTGTCAGCTTCCCAGGGTTTGCCAACTCGCCAGTTGCTCACAGCAGTTCTCTGCTTCCCACAAAAGCGATGCAAACGCAGCGGCTCTCCATGGTACGGGCGAGTGAGCGCAGAGGGAACAGAGAATGAGGAGGAACTTAAAATTGAAATGAAGGTCTAAAACAACAGCGAGGAGAGGGGAGGGAGGAAAGACTCCGAGCTAAGTGACGTAGCTCTTTGTGCCTTTGTGTTTGGAGGGACAACGTGGCTGCCCGCAGCAGGCAGCTCGCTGGCTGGCCCATGCCAGCACTCAGCAAGCGAGCGTGTGTGAGCAGAGGTTTGGCAAGTGCCCTGTGCTGCTCCTGAGACCCTTGTCCCAACCTGCAAAGGGCTTTCTAATGCACTGCCAGGCAAAACCAAGCTCCCAGCACCTTGATATGGCTGCTGAGGGATCTGAGACAGGGAGGCAAATGGCTGGCCCAGAGGTGGAAAACGCACAAGAACGGGGATAACTCTGGGTCTGCGATGCCCAATCTTGCTGGGAGATGAGAAACTCTCCTCTCCTGCCCCTTCCCTGTGATGAGTTGCATGGGAGCACGCAGCGTGAGCAGCGACGGGCTTTTGAAAGGCACTGGAATTATCCTTACCTTTCATCTGCACAAAGTCGAGCTGATGGATGGACTGCAGCAGAGGGGCGTTGTCAAGGTTGAGGTCGAAGTCCGTGGTCATCCGGGGTGTGAGCGTCCCCTTTCCCCACTGGTCCTCGGTTAAGTGCACTCTCCTGATGAGAGCGTCGGAGATCTGGTGGCAAAGAGCAGCCTCAGCTACTGAGGGGCACCAGGGCTGCATGCAGTGTCTCGTCCCTATCCTGCTCTCCCCCTTCCCTGTGCCTCCCAGGCTGCCACTTTTGTCCCTGACTTCCAAAGGCCGGGATATCACCCGTGGTTCCTAGCATCGCCCTTCACTGCAGGCTCAGATTGGCAGAGGGGCCCCAGGAGCTTTGGGGACTGTTTTAAAGGCAGGGTCTAGTGCCAAAGGGATCAGCCCAAAGCTGGGATGCAGTTCTCAAGTGCTGTATGTCCGTCTCTCGCTGGAGAGCCATGAGACAGCACGTTATGACCACTGCTCCAGAGATACCCCACCATCCGCTGTAACCTCCTATCCTTCTGGTCAGAGTGAGAAATGTCCCTGACCTGGTTCTGCTCCTGTCCTGCCGCAAACCTGGAGGTGATGAGAGGCTGGCCCTTGATTTAATGGCTGGAAAAGCTGGGGACATCATCCTTGGTGTAACTCCCCCAACTCTGCCGTGTTACCCCAGGGCCCCTTTCCCCTTTCCCGCTCCCCTCGCAGCCCAGATGTGAGCAGCTCCACACCAACCTGCAGGAAGCCGCTGGGGTCGTTCTCCTTGATGACCTCCAGGCAGTACTCCATCAGGCCCGTGGTCTGGCGCAGCTTGACTGTGCAGTGAGAAATCTGGTCTCGCACAACCTGCAACGGGACAAGGAGAGCAGCGTGGCTTGGAGCTGCGGGGGTTTGGGAGATGGGGAGCAAATGGGGTTTGGTGCTGCGTGGGCACGAGGACAGCGGCAGGGCACTGCAAAGGGAGACAAAGACTCAAGGGAAGAGAGAAAGGCAAAACTGGCCAAGACTCATACATCAAATTCCAGATCTTTGAAAACCTGGCGAACGACAAGCAGCCTTGTTTAGCTCAGAATTATTAACCCAGGTAATTATTCAAAGCAGCAGGGCAGTTCCATGCTCTGTCTCTAATTAAGACAGCTTCCAAATGGCAGTTTATGAACTCCACGCAAAGGAAATGTCTACCTCCACAGATGCACAGCTGCTGCTGCAGCCCCATCCATCCTCGGCCAGGAGCTGGGCTGCAGGGTTGGCTCCGGGACAGCTGCAACCAAATGCCCTGGGGTGAGAAGCCAGCCTGATATTTTGGTATTTCCAAGAGGAAGGAATGAACTAACTCCCCCAGCTTCAGCTCTGACTAACGATCTGTTCGAGATGCTCATCTGCCCATCAGCTGAGTTGGACCACGCTGCAGAATTGCCTCATTTTCTCCACCGGCTGCAGTGGGAGTCTGGGGATGAGCTCACAGGGAGAGATGTGCCAGTGAGAAGAGATAAATCCTGCTCGCCTTGTGACAGGGCTCCCTACAGCATGCCAAGCTCTGCACGCCGTCTTCTTGCACCCACGGATGACTCCCCCAGGGGATGTTTCAGCATCCCAGCAGCAGAGTACATGCGAGCGTGCGGTTTGGCTGGTGCCTGCAGGCTCTGCTGACCTTCCCTGAAACACAGCGGGGAGGACGGGGTTCAGGCTCCGATTCCGTGAAGGTGTGTTTGAAAACTGGCTGGTTCCTCACGCTGAATCCCTGTAGAAGGAGACAGTGCAGGTCTGGCCCCGGTGTCAGCAGGATTTCTTTCATGGGAGATTGTCAGAGCAGCTCAGGAAGACAGATTTTATGCTTTAGAGGAATGTGCTCATGGCAGATATATATATCTTTTTTTTTTTTTTTTTTTTTTCTGGAAGAGCTTTAAAGTTGTGTAAACTTCTCCATTAGGACTGAACAAAGCTACTCAGCTATTCAGGATGTTACAGACAGTAAAGATGAGCTTCGCATCAGCATCTGCAGCTGCACTGCGATGGAAAAAGCTGCAATAAGCAGCCATTAACGTTTCTGAAAGCACAGTTGTGCCCTCAGCACTGCAGTCGGTGAATCCCAGCGCCTGCGAGCCCACTGCTCCGCGGGCACGGCAGCGCTGGAATGACCACCCTGGGCTGAGAGGCAGCTCCTCCCGTGAGCATCCCCACAGTCCGAGGGACCGGGAGGTGAAACAAAGCCTCCTGCGGTGAAGGAACCTGGGCTCCAAGGAGGGCAATGACTCCTGCAGGGCAATCAATCACATCATGTGTTGTTTAATTATAATTTAATCACCTCTGCTTAATCACCTAACAGGAAGAAAAGAATTATTAGTCTTGCAACTGGGGACAACACATCTGCTTCTACGGAATGCCGCGAAGCAGCCTCCTCGCTGGCTCCTGATTTTTAGGGAGCAGCCACTCTTTGCTGCTCTTAGCAATCCCAGCCTGATGTCTCCAGCCTGTGGCAGAGGGAGGTCGGAGCAAGCCCGGGTGCTGGGGAGGGGGCTGCAGGCAGCACACCCCGTCTGCAGGGTGGACAAGGCAGCAGGGGGAGCTCCCGTGCTGCTCCTCTGGACCAAGACGTGTGTACGGAGGCTTGCAGAGATGCTGGATCACTCTGAGACAGGGCAAGCGAGCAGCACCACCGGCACACGCAGGCTTTGGCCTCAAACGCTGTCATCAGAGGGAAGAGTTCATTCAATGCCAGTTCCGAACACTTTGAGTGCACAGGAATAGCTCTGCTGGGATGGAGCAGAGGCAACAGCTAGTCCTGGAGGTCTGGACTCCTACACTGACCTTTCCTGAAAGCGTGGGCAAGCCCCTTGGACATCCTTTCTCCGTGGGGATGGTCAGTCCTTCGGGGTGGGATCCAGAAGGTGCAGTGGGGGGTGCAAAGCCTTGCAGCAACCTGCAGCCCCTCCCATGCAACACAAAGCAGCCCCTTGCATGCATTTGATCGCTTCTGAGCAGAGGGAGGATGCTGGGGGGTTGTTTTGCTCTTGCAAGGGTTGTTCCCCTGTGTGGATGTCGGGTCTCTCAGCTGCAGATCGTGGTGTAACACTGCGTGTGAGATGAGCTCAGCCTGCGGGCTCCAACCTTGCTGTTGGAGCATATCCTGACTGCACCAACCGAGCCAGAGCAAGGTTTTGCATTCCCTGCCTGCTAGGCTGCAGATGGGCAAGTGGGGCTCCCACCCTGAACACCCAGAAAACCTGCCTCCTTCTTCCATGTGAGACCCCTCTCTGGGGAAGTGCACACGCCACCAGGAAGCCAGCAACGATGGGATTGGTAAAACAATCTTCTTATCTTCTTTGCAGCTTAAATCTCTGGTTTGCCTAGGATAATGAATTTGCGAGCCTCTCCCTGCCCAAATCGATGCTTTTGAAGTATTACCAGCAAAATTATCTGCTACCACCAGCCACATGGCTTCAAGAAACAGCATTTGCTTGGTGCAGACAGGCACGGTGTCCCAGGACAGCCCTGGACGTGCGGCTGGTACATCCAGCACCTGCCTGGCCGTGAGACGGGATTACCGGCGAGGCACAGGGACCTGCCACCACTGTCCCCGTGTCAGCGTGAGACCTGAGGGGCTTCCAGGTGAGGGAGCTGGAGCACGGAGACGCCAGCCCCGGCTTTGCCCCTCTACCCTGCCCGCTCCCCAGCAGCAGGGTGAGGTGAGGCCAGCACCAGGCAGCTCCAGACTGAGTAATTACCGAGCTTCCCGGAAGATTATCCCTGCTAATAAAGGTCTGGTCCGGAGTGGAAGTGCTTGCTGCAGGCTGCCACTGAGGCTATGGAAATCTCTATGCATGTGAGTGCAAACTGAGATACCAGAAATTCCATTTAAATGTAAGAAACTGCACCCAAAGCAGCGGCTGAGGCTCTGTCCCAGCCCACACCTTTAGCCCCAGCGACCCTGCCCTTCCGTAACTCTGTGATTCCCTTCGGGGACCGAGCACCTATTCATCTGGAGAAGTAGAGCATGAAACGGCAGTTTAATTGCAGCATCTACACAGCAGGCAAGCCAACAGTGGAAATCCACGTTCCCTTCACCACCAACAGTTTCCAAGGCAAGAAGAGGGATTTTTGGTTGGGATCTAGTGCCTTTACAGCTTCCGTGCTCCACATGAGAGAAATGGGACACGGGCAGGAACAGCGAGACTCCATGAATTGCTTTAATTAGGGAAATGAAAGGTTTTAAAAATAAGACATAAACATCCCCCACACCTTCGAAGGTGTGGTCTAAAGCCAGTGGGGCCAGTAAAGCCAGTTTTCCATGTGGCCTTAAGCATCCTGTGGTTCTCCTCATGCATCAGGGATTTCCACTCCCTGGGGTACCTCAGCTCCCTGTTACCCCAGTAATGAAGAATATTTCAATGAAGAGAGCCGAAAGTGAAATCTGGAAGTTCCTCAAGCTTTTGACTCGTGTAATCAGAGCCTGTGTTGGGAGGCCTCAGGAGGCCTCAAAGGCTTTCCAGTATTCACCAAATCACCAGGACAACCAGGCTGCCAAGAATTTTGCATGGAGGTAGACAGTTTACAAACCTCTCCTGAAACTATGCAGGTAACACACCTCACTGAATGGTGGCACCTTCTGGGAAAGGGCTAAAGGCTCAGCTGGTGAGGGGATTTGGGCAACTCCATACATTTTGTTTGTGGTCGTTTTTATCAAATGCCTTTTTCCCGCTTTAGGTGCCAAAGGAGGCAACAGCCAGAACCTGGCTTCTAATTACAGTCTATAAAAAGGACTTTTGCTGTGCATTCACAGCAGTTCACTACTGCCTTAAAATAGGAAATTTATTTCAAGAGCTTTTCTTCCCTGTAAGATGACATTAACTATAATTTACATTTTAATACAGCTCCTAGAAGGCACATCTGCACTCATCTCTACTTAAATGTGTTCCTCACCTTCTTCCTCTTTTCAGTACTTGGCTAGATAACTGGTTTTCAAGGCACTTAACCTCACTTGAACCTCGGCTCCTCAGCGCCTGGGCTGAGACCTGCCGGGGATGTCAGGTGGAGGGCACGGAGCCTCTTCACCCCACGCCTTCACCCCACGCACACCGTGCCTGGGGTACAGTCACCAGCACGGCTGTGGGGACGGAGGCTGGTGTTACGGGGAGCAGTGCTGATGTGCTGCTGATATTGGAAAAATCCCAGATGGAAAACTCCCCGGGACAGATCCCGACGGTTTGATCATGCTGAACCCCACAATCACACATCCTGTGAGCAGAGAATTTCCAGGTGGATGTTTCCATGGTGACTTGCTTCTTGCTACTGGGAGAGGAGGCTCTGGCTGGAGCTGGGAAAAGCAGAGCTGCTGCGTTAACAACCCTGCACGATGCTGGTGGTGGCACGTCCCGGAGGCTCGAGCAGCCTGTTCTGATCAAAGGCACCAGCAAGCGTGAGAAGGTGCAATACAGAGACGTAGCCTCCAGCACGGAGAGAACCACGTGGCACATGGACAGATGCTACAGAGGACAGATTTGATCCAGCTCTTGGAAGGAACAAGCAGAAAGCTTGAGGGACATCAGAAAACCAGAGGCATCCCTACAGCTTGATCACAGCTCTGCAGATGTCTGTGTCCTCAGTGCCCAGCTCCCGGTGCTGATGCCCTTCCCAAAGCGGTCAGACACCACGCCAGGAGGAAAATAGTGCAGAGCGTGAAGGGATTTGTAAGAGAAAGCAGCGGTCTGGTATCTGCACCTTGGGGAAATAGTGCTCCTCATGATGAGCTTTTCTGACCTGTGTGCCTTTTCTGGTGTTTCCATACAGAAATGGTACAGTACAGGAAACTAAACCTGTGCTTCTGTCCTGTTTCTCATCCTTTCACACTAGTTCTGATCACCAGTGACCTAATTCAAAGAGGGCCACCAAGTTCCCTTGTGCTTCCTGGAAAATCCTGACTGTAACCCCTAAAGAAGGGTCATGGACCAGCATGTTGTCTCTGGAGATCCAGCACTATGGACAAGAGCCCTTGGTGAGTGTTTCCTATATAATTAGCTCCCCTGGAGAATGTGAGAGTTGCTGTTTGCCTGCAAGGGCTTTGCAGCCAAAGCACCTTAGTGAAATCACAGAGAAAAGCCATCCTATGACCTGAAAACCAGAAGAAAGCCAGAATGGTCCACCACGCTGCCAAGAGCTTAAAGGAGGTGCACACAGAGCTCAGTCCATGTGTGCTGTGGACTGAAGAGAGATTTCCTCCTGGGACAACACTGCAGGGAAGCCTCTGTCTCCCCTGCTCAAACTGGCCCATGTCATAGTGCATCTTTTGGGGAAGACCACACTGGTCCTTTGAAAAACAAGGCCTACAAATGAGACGTGGAGGTCTGTCCCAGAGGTGTAGTGGGCACCTGGCCCCACTGCTCCTCCAGATGTTATTTTTTAAAGCCCATGTTCTTAATCTGAATCCAAGTGTAAGGGGAGGTTGGGGAAAGGCAGGGAAATGTGCCCTCCAACTTAATTTCCTCCCAAACCTCTCCTTGCTCTTGAGTAATTAGTGTTGGCCCACAGGCAAACCTGGATTTGTGCCTGCCTCCATGAAATATGTGTCAAGCCAAAGTAGGTCAGTTGTAAAGCCGAGTTGAGCCAAACTCTAGGAATGGGAACTTGGGCTCTCTGGTGAAAGGCGCCCGGTGGCACCGTGCCGGCCGGCAGGCTCTGTCCCTCTGTGCCTCTCCTCCTCGTGCACACAGTGCCATTCCGTGCCGTGCTGGCCACCGTCCCGGCAGGCAGGAGCAGCAGCCCATGGAGAGATCGGCAGGCCAGCTGCTGCAGAAACTAGTTTGGATCTGAAAGGGCTCCTGGGTGGCACAGATAAGTCTCACTGGGCAATCTATCTGCTCATCTCCTCCTCAGCTGAGATGCCCTGGGGAACAGGCAGTGGCAAATGGACAGGCAGGCCAGGCTAGGATACACTGGACTGGTCTCCTGTGGGATGGGGTGAAGCTATCACTGCAAGTCAGCAGCCAACATTGTCCTGTCCTAATGTGAACATCAACCAGGACAAACCTCATGGCCCCACAGCAGGACACACAAAGTGTGTGCCATGGCTTGTGTATGAAGAGATGGTGCTGAGCATGCAGCATGGAGCATACAGCACCGTACTCGGGGCTGCAGCCAGAGCAGGGGGGGCAGCAGGGCCAGGGAGGGGATTCTCCCCCTCTGCTCCGCTCTGGGGAGACCCCCCTGCAGTGCTGGGGCCAGCTCGGGGTCCCCCAACAGCAGAAGGACACGGAGCTGCTCGAGAGGGGCCAGAGGAGGCCACGAAGATGCTGGGGGGGCTGGAGCAGCTCCCCTGGGAGGCCGGGCTGAGAGAGTTGGGGGGTTCAGCCTGGAGAAGAGAAGGCTCCGGGGAGACCTTCGAGCGGCCTCCCAGGGCTTAAAGGGGGGACAGGAAAGATGGGGAGGGACTCTGGGTCAGGGAGTGGGGATAGGACAAGGGGTGATGGTTTTAAACTGCCAGAGGGCAGATTTAGGTGAGATCTAAGGCAGAAATTGTTCCCTGTACGGGGGGTGAGGCGCTGGCCCAGGGTGCCCAGAGCAGCTGTGGCTGCCCCCTCCCTGGAAGGGTTCAAGGCCAGGTTGGACAGGGCTGGGACCCCCCTGGGCTGGGGGAAGGGGGCCCTGCCCAGGGCATAGAGGGTGGGACTGGATGATCTTTAAGTCCCCTTTCAACCCAAACCCTTCTGTGATTCTGTGATTCTATGCTGCTGCAGACGGGGCAGGCGGAGGTGGGGACACGGCCCCTTCACTGCACAGTCTCGCACCCTGCACACCATCCTTCCCAACACCCTGGAAGGATTCCTGCTCCCTCTGCAACACTTCCAGTGCTCCAGCACCTTGAAGCAAGAGCTGGGGGCTTTGTTATTTCCCCCAGCCTCGGGCAGTCGGGGGGATGTCCCATCAGGAGGCAGCTGCTCCAGGCACAATGCTGGTCCCCTTTCATGTCTCGTGGTGTTCCCCCGACCCTTTAAGCGAGGCCAGCCCAGCCCACCCTGTGCCCAGCTGGAGCTGCAGGTGCTGCCTTGGTCCGGGAGAGTTCCTTGGAGGGGGCAAAGGGGAAACTATCCCACAAAAAGATGACCCGGGCAGCCCCTTCCCCTGGGTGACAGAGCACTTGGGGACATCAGCAGTGCTGGTGAAGGGGACTGCAGGGGTGGTGGCGAACGTTCGCCTCAGTGGCCCGGTGTGGCCAGGGGACCCTGTGTGTGCAGGGAGGTACCCAACAGGACTGAGACTCTCCTGCACTCCCTGTGCCGGCCGCAGCTTGTGAAAGAAGGCAAGACCCTCCCTGTCTCCATCCCCAAGCCAGAGGGGAAGGATGTGTGCTCACCCGGGCTGCGTGCCAAGGCTGTGTGTCCCAGCCTGACGATGCTGAAACCCTGGGAAGCAAATCTCAGTGTGCAAAACTCTAGCTGGCACTCAGGTGGGCCAGGGCTGCATGACTCTCCCCATACAAGCTAAGACAGCACTGCTGCATTTATTACTTATCCCTTCCACCCCCGCAAGAATGAAGAGGGAGATCAAAGAATTTCAGGCTAAAAATCTGACCAACACTGCACAGGCCGCAGAGCAGAGTGGGGCAACTTCTGGATTTTCAACAGTAGATGCTGTGATGATAACTGGATGCAGGCTCGTGGGCCACATCTGCCGGAGCACACAGTGCCACAGAGCCCTTTCTGCCCGTGCAGCTCCCTTCCCACGGCGCGCGGGGAGCTGCAAGAGCTCAGCCCTGCAGGGAGGAAGCTGGAGGGCTGATTTTGACAGAGTCCAGGCTGAAACCCGGGAGCTGTTTCTTCCTTTAAGGTCCAGGCGTACCTAATGACAAAGCCTGGCTGATAACAAGGGTGGATGGGGGTGGGATATACATCTGCACGTGTTGTGGGGACAGGTGATATGGTGAGAGCAAGCAGTGGGTTGCAGATTCTTTCCCCCCGGCCAAAAAGTGAAAGGCCTCCTCGGGGTTGTGCTGAGCAAGGAAATTGCTTTGTGCTGCCTGGCTTTGTGAGAGTTTAATTAACCATGCCCTGAAGAGAGCCCACCAGGCAGCGGGGGTCCTGTTTGGGGTTGGGCTTTACTGTCGGGCACTGAGCACTGATGCTGGGCTCGGTCCCACAAAGCTGCTATTGTCAGTCTCCCGATGGAAACACGAGCCCGCGTGTTGAGGCGCCCATCATCTGCAGGCAGACCAGACTGGTGGCCTCCTTCCTCATTTCAGGCAGGTCCAGGAATCCCTCTGGGAGCCTCCTGGGTGGCTCAAGGCAAGGCCAGGGGCGATGCAAATGGAGCCAGAGATGAGATGCAGATGTTTTTAGCCAGAATACTGAAATGCCCTCGGAAGAGGGACCCTGGAAGCAGAAAGTGATGTTGGCGTGGCCCATATCGGTGATGGCCAGTGTGCAACTACCTTGTCCAACAGATACTGGGCACTGCTACACCCACTCCACCTCTCCCAAAGATTTGGTCCTTTGCTTCCCTTCTCAGCCCCAAACCAGCTGAAAAGATTCAGCATAGTGACTGCAGGAACAACACAAGCCAGGAGCCTGTTTTCCCAGCTGACCTCAACACTCACATTGAGACCTGCACCTCAGCTCCCCCAGTGCCAGCAATTCATCCCTCGGTGCAACCACCACTCTGCGGCCACGAGGTGCTCACCAAGCACAGAAAATAGAGCAATTCCTGCTGCTGCCTGATGACAAAAGTGGCATCTCATGACACCAAGTGCCCCAGAACTTCAGCTGAAGCCAGCAGAAGTTACAGGATCCTGCAGGATCACGCTAGTGGCTCGGAAGAAACACGGGACATGAACAAGGTCATTTTTCAGCCTGTGGATGCTGGACACGTGGCTCTGCTGATTTAATGACTAGTAATCAGACCAGTAATGGAATAATTCAGTGGGAACCACCACCTGGAGGAAGCAGCATTTGCTCAGGGCCTGTCACGCTGGGAGCAGGCTGGGCATCTGCAGCAAACCAGAATTCAGCTAACGTGAGAAGCAAGAGCGGCTTTCCAGCGACCTCCTTGCTCCTCCTGCAGCACTTCACCCCAACAAACAGCATCACAATCCTCATCCCGGTCCGGTGTCAACCCTGCAGAGAGCTCTCTGGCCACCCGAGCTGGTGGGTAAGGGCTCACCTTCAGCTTGTGTTCGTGCTCCTTGTTGACCCGGGACAGCAATTGGGCTTTTCTTCTGTTGAGGGCATCGATGAGGGCGTCACACTGGGCCACCAGGCAGGCCTCGAACTCCACACTGTTCTCCTGTGGATCAGAGCAGAGCATCATAGCCCTGGGCATGCCTCCATTTCAGTTGGGAAACATTTTTTTTTTTTTTGGTTGGTTTGTTTGTTTGTTTTTGTTGTTGTTGTTTTTTTTTTTTCTATGATACCACATAGGCCATTTTTATATGTGCAGCTGCACCACTGCAACTCACGGATCCATGGCATTAGCCTGGGGGATGCTTATGCCCTTGGCCCATGGTAAATGTGGTGGTAGCAGGTAAGGAACACGTTTGGTCTGTCCTGCCATATCCTCATATCCTTGGATCTACTTATGGCAGAGATGGGAAGGGCTGGGGTCTCTGCTGCTCCCTCCCTGACACAGGCAGCTTTGAGAGGAGAAGTTTTTGGGAGGGCTGCAGGGGAGTAATATGAAAAGTCAGGTGTGGGCCCCTTTGGGAAAACACCCACCAAACCAAGCTGGGGAGACGGGACAGAGGGTCACAGAGAGCAGCTCATCCTGGTGGGAAGGGGCTGCTCCTCAGCCAGGGGACACAGTACCTGGATCTGCTGCACCATATTGCGGAGTTGGACCAGGAACTCTTTTGCTTCCTTGGCTCTGTCTGACAAGCCGTTCAGGGCCTGGGAAAGCTGGCTCTGCAGGGGGAAGAAAGAGCGAAGTCATGTCCATGTCCTGGACTCATCCTTATGCTGGAGGAGCTAATGTGTGTGTGATTTGGGCTGGGGTTGGACTGCAGCCCTTCCTGGGGTGTGCAGCCTTCAGCAAGCCAACCCTTCTGCCCCTGCTGCCCTGACTAAGGAGAGGAAAAGGAGGGTTAACCATCATCACGAATGCCCTGGGTTTGGGAAAGAGATATTCAGTGTCCATCTCTTTCACAGGCTGCCCTGGGTTATCCGGGACAATCCATATCCATCCTGGGTCTCCAAGTGAGCCAGTTGCTACTTCCCCTGGATCTGTGCTCTCCAGGGAGACAGACACTAAAAAACCCATCTGACCCGTGACTGCCGAGGATGATCAGCAAAGGGCACAGGTCAGGTCACCCGAATCAGACTGAAAATTTCCCAATCCCTCCTGAAAGCTAAGGTAAAGCAAGGTCCTCCACTGCCATGCAAAATACTGACTGCCCCTTCCTCCTCTCGTGCTGGGGGTGGGAACGCACGCCCACAGCCTGAACTGAGTGGCATAACATGACAATAATTATGATCGTGTGTTGTGCTTTTTCATTTTCATGGCACTTTCCAAACATTAACTCAGGAATCGTCCCCTTTTGCCACGATTTCAGTAAATTATTATCTCAAGAGCTGGGCAAACCACCTGTGACAATTTACCTCTCGGAGAGATTTTGCCTCTTTCGTGGGCTGCAAATTGCCTGCAAACAGCACGCAGGTTTTGAGGTGTGATCTTTCTTTGCAGAGCCCAGAAGATGGCTGATGTCCCCAAATCGTCAAAAACCCAATGCGACCATCTCTCCTGTGATCAGGACATTGGCACTGGGCTGGCACCTGCCCCGTTGTGCCGTGCTCCCCCGGGTGCTGGTGCGGGAAGATGGAGGAGGTGAAATGGGAGAGGGGAGCAGGGGGGGTGATGGTGCAGAAAGGATGCCAGGTCACCCGAGCGCAGCGCCTGCTGAGATGGCGCTGGGCTGAAATCGAGAAAAAAAGAATTGCTATTGAAAAGGCGAGGTAGCAAACGAATAGCGACCACTTAATGGCCCAGAAAATGACCTTACTGCTGCTTCCCCGGGAGATGTTAATATAACCCTAGTGATTTCTGCATTTCCTTTGTAATTTATCGTGCCCGAGTCATTAGGATGTGGAGCTAATCAGCGAATGCATCTCTCATAAAAATGGGATTGCTAAGTCAGCTCGGCAGGGCCTCCCCATCTCTCCTCCCTCCCCTCCCCTCCCCGAGCAAAGGCTGGAGGAGAGCCGAGGCCGCAGCCCGGGCTGCTCCCCACGGCGACGGCAGCCCCCCGCACCGCAGGGACAGCCCCGCCTTGCCTCGTCCTCCCCGCTGCGCCCCTGCAAAAGCCTCCATCGCCCTGCCCCACGCTCGCCCTCCGCAGCCCACGCGCGGCTCCAGCCCTCCCAGACTTAGGAAGACGTCTTCAGCCCGGCAAGGTGGTTTGCTGAGACCCGAGCGCTGCAGGGCCCTGGTCTTCGGTAACACAAGCAATTAACAAAGAAAATCAGCAGGAGTTTGTTACGCTTACAACCTCCTCATTAAAAGTGCAGCATGGTGGGTTTTCTTCCCTTAATAAAGTCTTGGGAAGGTTTTTTTTTTTTTTTCTATCAACATACATTTCAGAAAGGGGATCTTTATATCAACATAACTCTTCAAGGCTTTCCTAATGGGAAAGCATTTTAAATGTGCTCTTCAAAATTAAGAAGAGCTCTGCGGTGCCAGCGTGCACTGTCCATGTGCAGCTCCTTCACCCCAGACACCCCCAGACTCACAGCACGGTTTCCACGGTGCAGCAAGCTTTGAGCCTGTCCACAAAATGAAAAAGACGGTCCATGGCCTTCAGAGCATCCCTCCCCATGGTCTTACACTGCATCCCCCTCCGCTGCTCAGACCTTCCCTCTGCTTGAGATGGTCTCGATGCCACCAGTGACCGCAGGTGAGGGGCATGAACTGGTCAGGATTTATTCTATAATTGTGAGGTTAGTGAGGTGCACAGTGGACACCCTGCCCCGTCCCTCATCCCCAGCATGGAGACCACCACCAGCCTGCCCAGCTCACAGCAATGTGCAGTAAGAGTTAGCATCGCCTGTGCAAAGCTGGTGTAGTGGTTTGAGCCGGGTTAACAGCCAACCACCACAGATGGTCACGAGCAAAAGGCAGACTCGTTAGGGGAAGAACAAAAACCATACATTTATTACAGACACTAACAACACATAACAGAGTAAGATAGTGAGAAGCATTGTCACATCTTGAGAACACCTTCCCCCCACCCCTCCCTTCTTCCCAGGCTCAGCTCTGCTCCCAATATCTCTATTTCCTCCCCCAGTGTTGCAGGGGCAGGGAATGGGGGGGGGGGGTGGGGGGGGGGGGTGTGTGCAGTCAGTGCTGCCGCTTCTTCCATCTTTGGTGGGGGAAGCTTCTGGAACTTGTCCCCCCTGCTCCATCGTGGTGGTCCCCCTCTCCCAGCAGACAGTCCTCCACAGGGGTCTCTCTCTCCCACGGCTGCAGCCCTTCCCCAGCTTCTCCGGCGTGGGACACCCCCGCATGCTGCAATCCTCCCAGCACTGAGTTGCAGCAGCGGGGGCTACTTTTTCCCCACAAGACCCCGGCCTTCTTCGGGCACAGCACCTTGCTCATCCAGGTGAAAACAAACACAGGCCATAAATCAGTGTCTGCTCCACTGTAGATCTTCATGGGTGGCGGGGGGGGCCACCCTGCCGTCTCACCACAGGATACAGGGGAGTCTCTGCTCCAGCACATCTCCCCCCTCCTTTCTTCCTCTGTTCCTCCACTGACCTCGGTGTTCACGCAGCTGCCGCAACTCCTCCTCACAAGTCCCTCTGCCTGTCACCACGTCCCTTCTTAAATACGTTATCGCAGAGGCACAGCTGACTGGCTCAGTTTCCAAACAGAGGTGGAGCTGACTTGGAGCTGGGGGAGCTTCGAGAAGCTTCTCACAGGGGGCTGCCCCTGCAGCCCCCCTCCCCGGCCACCAAACAAAAAACCCCACCACTCACTCAACCCAGGACAGCTGGTGATGCCGGTTCCCATGTATGGGTGGCCACAGGCTCCTCACTGGCCCCGGGAGCTCTAAGGTTTGGTTTTTCATCGGCATGAGCTTCGTGCCGATCTCCACAACGGCTCCCCATCGTGCCGAGACTCTCCTGGCGCAAAGACACATCCCTGGACATGTCCCCTTTGAAAGAAACCTCCGCCCTGCTGCGTCCCTGCTGCTTACGGCAAGAGTCACCCCGCTGGGGACACAGAGCTGCAAGCCACCACGGTTAGCCCGTGAAACAAGGTTAATTAATGCTATACGACAACGGAGCGCGCATGGGAACGTGCGTAGGGACTCGTGGGCACGCCTGCATGTATTCAAGAAGGGCAGCGCTGCCAGCACAGCGACAATGTGATTCATAACCGTACGCCACAGAAAAACAAAGTCCTTCTGGCTTCTGTTATTACGTTAATAGGTCAGAGGCTGCGGTGAGAAATTAAATGACTGATTGGGTCTGTAAATTCTACAGGTACCTTCCATGACCCTTGGAACAAACCCAAGCTTTAATGCAGTCTGTTGCTCTGGAGAAGGGTTTAATCACCAGACACCGAAGGCAGAGTCACAGGTTGCCCACCAATGTGTGATCTACATGGAGGGAGTGGGAGAGGGAGGCTCAGGAGGTGTCCTCCGCGCGGGAGCAGGGGGTCAGAAGGACCTCGAGCCTTGTCTCCTGCGTGTGCTGCACCAGACTGCAGGGACCACCATGCTGTTAATATTTCTGACGCATGCTGGAGGGATTTCCCCTCCCTGCTGGAACGTTGCACTTTGCATCTCCATGTGGAAACAAAATCTGTGAGGCTTCTGGGGGCTGGGGACCCCATTCTGGGGACCACTGTCCCCCCGCAGAGCAGGGGATGGTGGATGGAGACCCAGTGCCCTCCTGCATGCAATGGGCCAGCCCTGCATGCTCTGGTCTGGAGCGGAGTCACACCCCGAGCTAGCACAGGCAGGGGACTTAATGAGTGTGAAATGAAGAAAAAGCCCATTTAGCCCCATCTTAAAATCAAGGGAATTTGTTCTTTGCAGAAAGCTGGCCTCTTTTTTCAATGCTCTTGTTTCAAGGCAATAAGAAGAGACTTCTGTAATTCACATAAGCATTAATGGGAGCTAAGCGTTTAAATCTCTGTCCCCAGAGCACTTAGGAGAGAATCTGTCCGCTCTTTGTGCTCGCTAATGGCTCTGTAACCCTCCTTCCCAGGCACAGCTGACAAAGGGATTTCTGTCACTCTGATTCTCCCTTGTCCCGGAGCACGGATGAGCGCAGTTGGTGCAGAAGGCTGGTGGCTCAGCAGGGCTGAGCAGGCTCCAAGAAACGGGAGAAAAGCCCCATTTAAAACTCCGCATCGTCTCTCAGAGGGAGCTGGTCTGGCTCTCCTCCCGTATAGCCCAGTTGCCAGAAATGGAGCTCCTCCAGGTTTACGCTGAGGTGAGAAGGGAGCTAGGTCTGTTATTTTAGGAGGCGCCAGGTCCTGCTCGGTGTTGGATGCCGGATCTGCAGAGCCGGGTCTGTGACAGCTCCATCTGGCACGCTGAGAAAAGCCTGAAGTTAGCCAGCGTTGGCCACCAACAAGAGGAAGAACAGTTGCTCTTGTTTCAAACCCCAACTTGCTCTCGGGCTCTGCTACTAGCCAAGATATCTGGAGTATTCAGGAGAGACACCAGTTTCCTCCCTCCTCTGCTCAATGGAGAGGAGGGCTCCTCCGCAAGGCAAAAACCGATTGCTAGCCCAGGTGCCCTGGGGCCAGCTGGCAGCCCCACTTCACTGCCCACCCCCAGCCCGCAAGGGCTGCACCCACATGCAGGCAAACACGTTTGTGCGCAATGGTGAAAGGTTACAAATTCAGAAGGGATCAAGAAAGGGCATTTCTGTTCAAGGTCAGGCCAAAGGTACAG